ACATCTGTCTGGTGGATCTTATGCCTTCAGACAACTTTACAGTTCAGTTATGTTTCTTCTTTTTTGTGTAACAGTAGGTCTGCCTCCAAATGAAATTGAATATGGTGTCTAGAGGCCTATCTTTTCTCAACTTTGCTTTTCTTTCTCTCTTTTTTACCTACTGGTTAGTGCTTCAAGCAGTTATTGGGCAATTTAAATTGGATTTCTGTTGTTATAGACAGTAATTAAAATGTGGCCTTTGCATTTGATTTTATCATCATGGCAGGCTACTTCCTGTCTGATTAGTTGTCTGAAATCCAGCCTTAGCTGTCACAGACTGTGTTTCATTTTTATCCAGCCAAAACTGCATTACTGCAATATACTGTATTCAGCATAGAGAAATGATAGTCCAATCTTGAACTTTTATTGCCTATATCTTCTGAGAGCTGACTGTTTAAATAACAGAGATCACTCTGAACTATGATCTTTCTTTATCCAAGCAAGTTTCTGTCACTAATTTTTTTTCCATAGTAAAGAGAATAGTCCATAGGATAAAATGTTCATTCACTGCAACTACAAGAATGGCATTTCATCATTCATTGCACGTGGTCTGTACTATTTTAATGCACTCTAATGACCATTTTGGATGATGAAGGAAAAGGCAACATACTTTTTAGGTAAGTTAATTTTAAAATGTTCTTCTGTGCTTTTTCATATGAAATGGCTGCCTAGCTGTCAGTCTACTGAACTGTTGTGTAAACCATTAAAAACAGGAGATTATTTGCTGTTGTTTTTTCTCCTTACATACACAGTTTTTTTTAAAGTCATTATGGTTTTCTTCCAATACATGTTCAGTAATAAATTGATTATTTTTACAAAAAACTGTAATTTGAGGGGGAACAGAAGACCAACCTACCAGCAAAACCTTGGGACTTGAAATCAAAATAGAGTTCTTATTCATTGATGCTTAAAGATAACAATCATCAACAGAAAGAAAACTCAACCTGACTAAGATTTGCTAGATTGGATCCTAACCATGCAAGTTCACATCTTGTATAAACTTCATAAACTTCATGTTTGGGCAAAGAGAAACCCACCTTTATAACTGTTCATTTCAAGCACATGATTAAATATCCACATTCTATCTGGACCTTAACTAAAAAGCTAGGTTTTTAGCATGCTGAACTGTCCTTCCTGTGCTTCAAATATTTATCTGCACAGGTGGAATGCAAAAAGGTGATATGGATTATTATTATTATTATTATTATTATGCTTTCTTTTACTGGGAAAATCATCACTGGGCCTGCTCTTAGAACTCTTTAGATTTATTTTAATTGGATCTGTATGAAAAAGCAATGTCAGAACAACACTAGAAAAGGGACTGTAACAAAAATATTTCCCTCCTGCTTAGTTGTACAAGGTTAATGTGAATAAGAGTCCAGACACCTGAGGCAAGAATCATCATGTACTCTGCTATGTTTTTCATTGGCTAAAGCCAGAAATAAAAGCAACATGACTCTAGATCAGGGCTGGGCAAAAATGCGGCCCGTGGGCCAGATGCAGCCCTCCAGGCCGTTCTATCCGGCCTGTGGTGCCCCTAAAAATTTAGAAAATTAATATTAATCTGCCCCCAGCTGCCTGTCATGTGGCCCTCGGTGGCTTGCCAAAACTCAGTAAGTGGCCCTCCACCCAAAATAATTGCCCACCCCTGCCCTAGATCCTTTGGAAGGCTTTAAAAATGAAAGTGGGACATGGTGGGGCCTTTGTCACAAAATTGGCCTTTAAAGCAGCTTAAATGCCCCTTTGCACTGCTTTAATGGCATTGCTGTTTGCACATTTGGTGCCATATTCCACTTTAAATGACTTTAGTATGTAGCAAAATAAAACACCTTCGACATGTTTTAGTTTGCTACCTAACAAAGTGCAACAGTGCACAGGAAGCCAATGTGTTCAGGGTTTGGCAGGCCCCGCACAGCTCAGGGGCTGTGGGACCCGGCGACAGCCCATGTAGGCAGGCTCCACATAGCTCAGGGACCATTTGGCCTGCCAGCAGCTTACCCCCCGCAGCTACCGAAAAGGCAGGTAAGGATTGGGCCCCCACCCTTGTGTACATGCCACAGCAGGGCCGTTTCTGGGGGTGGAGGGGCAAATCAGGGTGACCACTCCAGGCCCCGTGCTTTGAGGGGTGTCACGGCATGGGATCCCCAGGGATGGCCGTGATACCCCTAGGGTTCCTTGAACATGCCAATCCTGCCCCACGAGCACCCTCTTTCTTGCCTGCCATGTCTTGCTGTTAATTCTAATAAAATCGGGAAGATGCTTTCTCACATATCTTCAGTTAAGCAAAATCCTCTAATCTGTCCAAAATTTTTGGTAAAAGGCATCAGGTTTAAGGTTATAAAAAACAATGTAGAGTAGAAGACAACATCCCACAAATCACTGATGATGAAACGGTAACACAGCTAGTAGCAAGCATTTTCACCTCATAAATATATACGACTGACAAAGATAGAAAGCTGGTCTAAGACTTGTGAAACCTGCATTACTCATTAACTTGCATCCTTCCATGAAAATAAAGCATTAATACAAACTTTTATGGGACTTAAATCTAACCTTAAATCTACCCAAACTTTTTGTGCTTTTTCAAAAACATACTTACAACATTAGAGGTACATACAACACTAATGATATACAGATACATCCCCTGTTTTTATGCAGGCATCAGAAGCATCTTTGAGAGAGACTATGTATATGAACCTAGATATGAAAAACTAATTTAACTGTTAGGACCAGTGGCTTTTCCTAGAAATCGTTTACCTTTGTCACGCTGAAGGAAGCCATCATAAATTAAACACTTCAAGGCAGTAATGAAAAATTCTAAACTTTTCTAAACACAATGTTTTACAGACATTATTTATTACTACATCAAATCCAGTTCTGCATAACAAAGCTGCCAGACTGAATCATGTCATTTTATGTCATCAATCTGCTGCTGTATTCCTGGCACCAAGCAGATCAGTAATCAAATTCCAACCATCACTTTACTGCTACTCCAATTAAGATATGAAGCATCAAAGGAAGCTAAGAGAGGATTTATTTTCTTAGGCCTAAACAAATTATTCTTCATTAACTAGTGAGGGGTAAACTTGAAAATGGTTGAAAGTTTCATTAAGTCTGAGAGAAGGTTTGTCAAAACTTATACAGGATCCTACTCCAACAGTTTTCTTAAAGCAATTAAAAATCAAAGGATGAAGAATGACCTAGGTCCTCTGCAACCCATCACCTGTGAACCTGCTAGGGGGTATTTCTGAAACTCACCTCCCTCTCATACCAGCAATTCCTGATACAAATATCAGGGACATATAGCAGCAACTCTGGAAGCAATCAACTTCTGGGAGTCCCTGAGGAATCTGACAGAAGAGGAAAGGCCATATTATAAAGCAAAATAGAAAGTAAAATGGGTATAGAATTCAGCAGAGTCTTATTGAACACTTAAGGGGATAATAGAGTGTTATATCAAGAACATACCTCCTCTATCTCCAGTGGGAAACCTCTGTCAAATCTTAGAGAGTTTAAGGACAAGATAAATGCTGGATCGTTAGTATATACAGATGTTAACCTATTAGTGAGCAAAATTGCATAAAACCCCCACAACATTCATGTGTTGAAGGAGAGCTGGCTGGTGTGGGACACTTTTAAACATCTAGTCATTTCATTTAGGTGCCTAACAGGGACTTTAGGGTTTTTTGTCACCTCTCAAAATATGGCTATTCAGATGCCCAAAAAGGAGCTCTGCTGGATGCTGGGGACCTTTGAATGTTGGATTCTTAAATTCTAAGCAGTGCTGCTTGTCCATTATCTCACAATATGATATATAACTATACATTATAGATGTGCAGACTTCTGCAATAAAATTAATATAGATAATAATGCAAATACTACACTTACCACTTGTCCATTCTGAGGATTCTTATGAGCATATGGAGGTCCACGGATATGATTCCACATTTGACCAGAAGTCATAGCAAACACAACACACTGAAAAACAAGGAATAAAATATTAAATTCACTGATCTCAGTTTTCCTCTGGGTACTGACACCAGATGCTGGGCATCTTGATTTAAGGTGAATGTCTGTTAACATGTACAAAGCAAATATTTGCATCTACTAAGAGTGCAGAACAGGATTTTTGAATGTGCTCAAGAATGACTTAGCTCTTCTTGCAATGAAGTAAATAGCAAAACCATCATTGAATTGAAATAAATTTAAACATAGATCTTTTAAAAATTCCACACTGAACCCTCCTGTCTTCATGTATGCTATATTTTTCTATGACCTATATAGATATATCTATATCTGTATTTATGTATATATTAAAGAGGATACATTTCAGTTAAAGAGTTCATTATAAATTGCTTAAAAATCTACTCTTGCACAATGCAAAGCTGCTGCAGTTCCTAATCTAATACAAGCACGTTGGAAACAAAAGTCTAGTCAGCTTAACATGCAGGTTCACTTCCAGGTTTGTGCAATTGGAATATAAAGGAGCTGCTTCTACAAAAAAGAATCTTCTTCCTGTAAGAGTGTTATCCTATTTTATAAAGTCTAATGCAGAGTATATGACTTTTCCTTAACTTGTGACAAAATCCTTGGCGGAGTCTACAGAAACATGGAATTTGTAGAGCTACACTGGGGATTGAGGAAACTGTGAAAACACCCCTTCTCAGAAATGATGGTATAGCACCTACAGAATAATAAAAAAAAAAATCATAAGCATGGCAGTAGTCACTACCAAGTATTTAAAAAGGAAACAAGGACTCATTCCTGATTACCAAGTAAAGAGCAACAGATGTGAAAAATCTGGAATGTCTAAACATGTCTTATAAGGTAGTCCTTGAAAGAATGAAATATGTACCATTTGGCTGAATGAGGACACCTTGGTAAATTTCTACCAGAATTAAAGCATCAAAGAGAAACAACAAATTGACCCTGATTCTGCAAAGAGCTTGTAATATGCTTGTTATTGACTATGAACATTTCTATCAACGTCAAGGGTACTACTGACAGCGCTTATAGTTAAACACAAAATGAAGGCTTTAAAATATATCACTGGTCCAAGAAAATTAGATAGCTTGGTACATATTAAAAATGGTTAGCAAAACAAAAAAAAAAGATTAATTGTATTAGGTGCCTCTGATTGTTTACTTTAAAATAAAATGTTATTTACACATTTAGATTAAAAATCAAGGTTGATTTTTCTTGATATAAAAAGGTATGCCATGCCAATAGAGGCTTCATGAATTGCTAGTGCAGTGCAGTTAAGAGGACAGGATGCTTCCATTGCAGGATAAAAGGACCAAATAGTTATTTTCATGTCTTGCTAATGCAGGCTGCAGAGGAATTTCTATTGTGATTCCACTGATGAGTCACACAGGAGACAGCAGATGTTTCTAAGACATGAAGATAACAAGGAAGTTGCAATTGAAGATGAAAATACAAAGGGGAGGTGAGAAAAAGGTCTCAAGAGGCCAAAAGTTAGGAAGCTAAAAAGTAAACTTAGGAAAGAGAAGAAACTGATGCACAAGATTTACAAATCCTGGCTTCTGAAACAGTCACCTCTCAGGATTTTTTTTAAATCCTGATATTTACAATATACTCTCTAGGGAGAAATCTGCATGCACAGGAGGTAAGGGGGTTGGGGAGGGAAGGGGCAGAATAAAATAATAAAATCTGTACATAGAAAACATTTTTTACAGATTAAATTTTGCTGATCAATTTCTTAACTGAAACCTTGACCACAGAGCACAAACGATTTCTCCATTCTGCTGTACCAACACAGAATTATACCTCTTCATGTTATGGCAATTTCCAACAGAAAAAAAACAAAACACATACAGTATTTTTTGTTTAGTGTAGGCAAGACTATTTATAAATGAACTAACATTTATTATGTGAAACAGAATGATGGCTCACCCCAAAAAAATTGCAAACCAAACTTAGTTAGTTGGTTTAATTATCAGTGATGTAATTAATAAGACTGAGTAAAATTATTAATGTCCTGGACCATATACTCCCATGGCCTGCTCCTCTGCTAGCAAACTTTGCTTCTGTTTGTCTCCCTGCTATGTCACACCTCTGTAGTGTTCCACAGTCTCCACTAGGGCAGAAGTTGGCAATATTTTCCAGCAGGAGGGCTGGAATGACTCAGCTTGGTCAGATCCAGGCAGACATCAGGACCTAGCTGCTGCCACCTCTTCTTCTCATTGCTCAATTGCAGTGTGGCATAGCAAACGTCTTCCTTCACCTGCACACATGCTGCCTGATTGCAGCATACCACAGTCAGAGCTTCTCCTCTACCAGAGTCCCAGGTAGCTGACCAGAGTGCAGGGCAGGGGCAGCTGGAGCCCCAAGCAGTTGACTGGTACATGCAGGGGAACCCCACCTCTGTAAAATGCCACCAAAGCCACAGCTCTGAGGGCTGAATCCAAAGGCTTCACAGGCCAGACTCCCAATCCCTGCACTACAGCTCCATTTTGGAGGGGAGGAAGGTGGAATTTCCTTCCATTCTTATCTAGTTTTTTAACGTTCTAAAATACTATGCTTTCATCATTTCCATTAACCACTTATTGAATATTACTATAAAACTTCTAGGAATTTTTTCTTGATATTCAAATTGGATTCCTTCTTTATTTATATCCATCAAGGCCACACTAATGCTACTCTGAATTCTCTTCATCATTATCATTTATATTGTTGAAATACTTAAAGATATCCACAAGTATCAAAATGCAGTATTCCGAATGCATTTGTATAGATTATACATATATTTATACTTTGTGCCTACTGCATCTGAACACGTAGCTACAAACTACATTGACCTCTTCTATTTCCATATGATCAAATGCATGAGAAAAACTGGATTTTCAAAAGCACTAAAGGGCTTGTTAAATTTACTTCATTACGATCCTTAGAGTCTTCCTGTATTAGTTTTCCAGACTTCTGCCTCTCACTGAACAAGATAATAACTTGTGATGTGTCTTATGAATCTCTATTTTCATTCAGTTCCACTTCTGGACAATTGGTATGCAGAACAGTGACTCCCATTTGTACATTTTCTGGTGCAAAATGGTATCAAGGCAGTCTGGATAAAGTAAGAGTAGTGAAGCTGCAATGGCTTTTCTTAGCACTTCCACGAAGCCTGCAGCTGGGAATGCTTCTGCCTCAAAGCACCCCAAGATCTGACACGGTGCTTTAGGAAACTTACTGGATTCACAGCATGTGCATCTTTGAAGCATTCACTGTCTGACAGTTACAGCCCCTTTCTTAGGCTTATTCCCCCCATGACAGTTTCTTAAAAGAAAGAGTTTCTTGCCATAACCTCTGTCATTTTCTGCTCTATAACACCTCTAAAAACAGGGAAACTTAAGAGCCAACTTGCAGATCACAAAGGCCCTAAAAAGCATGTAGGTTGATTTGGCTTAGTTTTTGACAGAAATATGAATGATAGGAGCAGGCCACTAGGGTATATGGGGAGAGCTTATTGACTATTCCTGGCCATGTCCCATATTTCTGGGGCTCTACTACATACTTTTGTTTGAATATGTCACTTTGTCAAGAGGCCTAGGTAAAGTTTAATGAACAGTTACTATCTACAAAAAGGCTTCTTAATCCCCCCCATCTTGAAATCCAGATCCGGTCCCTAAGGCCATGTCATTTGGCCCATAGGGCTCCCCACAGGACTGGAAATTTGGTGGCAGAAGACTGGTGGCAGCACTCCCCTGCTACCAAATTTCCAGACTCAGGCCCTGCATGCTAAATCAGGCACCTGATACTGCTGTGCAGGGCTGGCATAAGATGCCAGGGCCCAATACCAGGCCCCAGTGCCCAAACCAAGCACACAGGGCTAGGAGGAAGCCCACTCCAGTCATTTGGCCCGCAGAGCCAAAAGTTTGAGCACTGCTGATCTATAGGTTTGCTTAAGTAGTTGCCAGAGGCTTGAAAGGCCATTTAGCATGGATCCTGAAATGAATCTTCATGAGGTCATATTGTAAGGAGTGACCGAGAAACCACTATTCAAAGACGAAGCAGAAGAGAATGTTATGTGACGAATGCCCATCTGCAATAAGGAGGAGACAGTCTTAGATAAAGGGGGCTTGAAAACAAAATAAGAAACAGAGTACTGGGTTATAGGGCTCATTAAAATACTAAAAATCACGCCCCTAGGTGGGGAAAAAGTATGCTAATGAAACATACATGTATGTAAATGAGATACATGGCTAAAACACAGGTATAGAGACATGCTCAGTAAAGAACTCCTTGCGTCACTCCTTTATAACCAATCAGCAAACAAGGATGCTTATGAAGGCTCAAAAACTCCTGTATAAAAGATGCTTAGAAATAGTAATCTGGTGTGCTTGTTACGTGAAATTATTCCGCTCACACCTTTTATTGCTAGCAATAAACTTTCTTTGTACTTTCTCCCCTGGTATCTTTATTGGCCTTTGCATACCGGGCACAATCCCAGACTTGAGCTGGGGCTCAACAATATATGTTGAAAATCATCTTCGTCGAGTCCCTCAACAAGTTAAGAATAAACTCAAAATATTGTATATTTATGAACAACATAACAAGAACTATAAATTAATCTTTGCTAATATAAAGTGTTAAACATGTTTGTATCTATTTTAAACCAAAAATAACTTAAATTAAGATGCGACTCATGCATCATTTCTTGCATTATTTTCTAGGATTTGTTTTTGGTTCTATCCAACTTAAATTTGCCTCTGTGGTTCCAGAAACTTACAAAAGCTATATGGCTGCAATGGCTTTATTCAAGTTATATACAATAGTTATCCACTCAAGTGGTATCAGGAAGGGAGAAGGTATACAACTGTGTGCCAAAGAAGATAGTTACATATAGTAACTTATTTTTCAAGATGTGCTCACGTACACAGCATTATAAGAGTAAGTAAAACTACCCAGGGCACTTGAATCAGAAACTTTTGCTAGCTACACCATCATGGTACATCATGCACCAT